GTCCTCGACTGCTTTCCCAGGCCACAAGCAGGGAGCTGGATGGGAAGTGGAGCTTCCGGGATAGAACTGCCGTCCATATGGGATCCCGGCACGTTCAAGGCGAGGACTTTAGCTGCTAGGCCATGTCGCCAGGCCCCAGTTTGGATTCTTGCTAGCACCCTGGAGGCAGCAGTTGAGGACTCAGATACTTGAGCCACTGCCCCCCATTTGTGAGACTAAACTGAAGTTCTGGGCTCCTGGCTTAGAACTTGCAGAGTCCTAGCTGTTGGCATTTGGGAGATGAACCAGTGGGTGGAAGAGCACCCTTTCTCTCTCTGTCTCTCTGTATGTGTTGCTCTGCATTTCAAGTAGATGAATACTTTGAAAAAAGAGGAAATAGTGAAATTTTACCTTTAAAACCCTGAAAGTAACTTTTTCTTTTACATTTGTGCTTGGAGTCCTCTTAAAACCATTTTGATTGTGAGCTATGACACAGATCAGAGGACTGTACAGAACAAATGAATGATTTGTCTCCCCATTACTTCTTTGTTTCCCCACTTTGGGGCTGCTGGGAGCAGGAAGCTTGCAAGTATTCCAGACTGTATCCTTTTGTCTCTGTCTTCTTCCTTTCTTCTTCCTTCAGGGGCCAGCCACTGTCCTGTCTTTTACAGTAATGACATCTTAGTCCCAGAGTTGAGGCCCAAATGTCTATCTTCAATAATGCCCTAAAGGACTATTTTGGGGGGTGTGTGTGTGGTGTGTGTGTTGTGTGTGTGTGTGTGTGAAGGGATGTGTCAGGTTAAATGGTGTCCTGCCACTTTCTAGTCCCCAAACCTGTGACTATGTTACTGTCCCTTTTTTGGAGACTTTGAGATGTGATTAAGTTAAAGATCTTGAGTTGGGGTGGTTATTCTGCATTGGTAAGAGAGAAGATAGGATCATTAAAGCAGAGATCAAAGTGATGTGGCTGTGAGCCCAAGCTTGCTGGCAGCTTCTGGAAGCTGGAAAAAGTCAAGGGGTGGTCCACTTGAGAGCCTTGCTGATTCAGTGTAGAGCCCCATCTCCAGAAGGCACTCAGATAGTATCTAAGTTTGTATTATTGTAAGTCATTTAGTTTGTGTTTAAGTTGTTGCAGCAGCTACAGAAAACTGCTATGGGAAAAGCTTTTAAACTCAGAAAACTTGTAAGACTAACAATTTGTTTGCCTACTACTATTTTGCTCTTTCTCATTTGTATTTTTCTGACCTTAGATTTAATTATGCATTAGGATGAGTTACATGTCATGGCCCCTCACCCATAATTACTTCAGTGAATATTTCCCAAGATCAGGAACCTTCCTTTTTTTTATTTAGATGTAATAACCCCGCAGTTCTCAGTCGCAGCAAATTAAACAGTGATGATTTATGGAATTTTCCATGCATGCTCTAATTTTGTTAGTTAATTCAACAATGTTCTTTGTAGGCTTTCCCATTCCTTTACAGAATACAGTTCAGGATTAAGTGGTGTATCCAGTTGTCATATTCTCAAATCTAGAGCATTTGCACAGCCTTTCTTTGTCTTTCTCAACACGCTGATGTTTCTGAGCCCTGTGCCTCTTCCTCAGGAGTAGACTTAGATTCCACTTCCTGAGTGGAACATAGTGTTTAAGGGACAGCGTGTTGTTCTTGGAAGATAGCCATGCCTCCTCTTGGTGATGTTAATTTTGATATCACCCTGTCAGAGTGTTATTTAATTTCTTCACTGTGTAGTTGCTATTAGTTTTCCTTTCAACCTATAAACAATCTGTGGGAGGACATTTTCAGACTCCCATGCTTGCAAAATTATGATTTTCCAGCTCCTGTATTTTCTCTGTATTCATCAGTTGACATTTGATATTTGTCAGTAAGAAATAACCTTCTCTTGTGAGCATTTGATGCAGCAGTTCAGTTACTGCATCCCATTTTAGAATATCTGCCATCTTATACCAGAGTGCCTGGATTTAGTCCTAGCCCCTCTGCTCCCCTAGTTTCTCGCTAGTACACCCCCTAAAAGGCAGCAGGTGATGGCTGAAGTACTTGGATCACTTTAACCTACATATGAGACCCACACTGAGTTCTGACTTAAGCTTCTCCCAGTTCTGGCTGTTGTGTGCATTTGGGAGTGAACTAGAGGGTGGAGGTTCTTTCCCTGATTCTCTCTCTGCCTTTCAAATCAAATGAAAATTTGAAAGTTTTCAGAAAAAGAAGCACTTTATTCTCTCATCTCTCAATCATTGATATACAGAATCATGCATTTCTATTCTTCTATAGTTTATAAGTTACTATATTGTCTATTTTAATAAATTATTTGTTTATTAGATAGAGAATGCTTTCTTTTTTACTGCCTTTCCCCCAAATACTCACAGTGGCTGGGGGATGGACCAGGCCAAAACTAGGAACTCAGTCTTAGTCTGCCACATGGGTGGCAAGGACCTATCTACTTGAGCTGTCACTGCTGCCTACCAGGCTCTGTGTTAGCAGGAAGCTGGAGCCAGGAACTGGATGTTGAGTTGGAGCCCTGTACTTTAATATGGGATGTGGGTATGCCACGCTGTGTCTAAATCCTGCTAACCAACTCCAAGTGCTTTTCCTTTCCTTTCCTTTCCTTTTTGTGATGAAGTGATTGAGGCTGGCATTGTGGTACAGTAGGTTAAGCTGCCCTTTGCAGTGCTGGCCTCTGTTCGAAGGCCAGTTTGAGTCCTGTAACTCTGCTTTCAGTTTAGCTCCCTAATAATATGCCTGGGAAGGTAGCAGATCATGGCCAAATTTCTTGGGTTTCTGCCACCCGTGGTGGCTCTCTCCGTCCGTGTTGTCTTCCATCTCTCTGTAACTCTGCCTTTCAAGCAGAGTTTTTTTTTTTTTTTTTTAAAGAAAAGGCAGACTTTGAAGCTACTTTCTGTAGAATTTTGTTTTATTCCAAGGATTAATTTAGTGATAAACCTGTTTTTATGTGAGGTTTGTTCAAATGCATAAGGACTTGCCTCTTGCTATTACTTAGCCTCCTTTGAGCAGCATTTAATGGGGAGGAAATAATGCTGATTAAATTATAGGCTTTGGGGGATATGCCTGCTTGTTTTTTTCATTCCTAGCAGTGTTACCCTGGCAAGGTGGCTAATTTTCTCAGTGCCTCAGTTTCCTCATCTGTAAAACGTGTATACTGAGGGTACTCCCCTCATAGTCTACAACGTGCTCAAAGTGTGCCTGGAGCAGAGAAAGGGTTCAAAAGGTATGCACTATGAATGCTAGGGGAACAACTAATTTGGGGCAAGGCTGTGTATACTGGAGCCATTGAGGAGGGTCTTTTTAACATGTGCCTTTTCCGAAGTGACACATTGTGCCGCTGGTTAGAGCACCTGGGTAATAAGCCTAGCACTTGGGTTTCTTTGACACATTTAAAGCTGATTGTTTTTTTCTGTCACTTTCCATAACTGAGGCAATTTGGGCTGATGTGTGGAATCACAGAACTCTGTATCAGATGTAAAAATAGCTGAAGCTCCATTAACACTTAGAAAAGAAATAATCTATTAGCTACTGTTGCCAGGCAAAAATTAGGCAGGAAGTCTTAGGCAAACCAAGAACAGGATGCAAGCTGTCCACATTTGATAAATATGTTTCTCTGCCCTTGGGTTGTTGTATTAGGCTTAGGCTGGGTTCTGATGATGAGATAAAAACTTGAAGTTAGCAGTAGTATAATTGCTTTGCTTGCATAGGAGAAAGAAGAGTCAACATTTTTTTCTTTTTTTCATGTTCAGAACAAAACTGAAATACTGTGACTTATGTTAGTTACCATAAAAAGCAATTTATGGGCTTGGCGCTATGGCTCAGTGGCTAAATCCTCACCTTGCAACCACCAGGATCCTGTATGGGCACTGGTTCTTATCCTGGCTGTGCCATTTTCCATCCGGGTCCCTGCTTATGACCTAGGAGAGTAGTTGAGGATGACTGAATGCCTTGGGATTCTATACTGATGTGGGTGCAGGGTCCCAAGGCTTTGGGCCGTCCTCAACTGCTTTCCCAGGCCACAAGCAGGGAGCTGGATGGGAAGTGAGGCTGCCAGGATTAGAACCGGTGCCTATATGGAATCCCAGTGCATGTAAAGTAAGGAGTTTAGCCATAAGGCTATCGTGCCAGGTCCAAAGCAATGGATTTTAAACAGGGACCTTTGTGTGTGGAAGTACTTCTGAAAGTTCATAGAAAGAGGAATTTAAAGATTTTTGTTGCAAAAAATTTTTGAAACTACGTAGATATTTGTTTCATCATAAACATTTCCCACAAACTTTCTGGAGACCGCTCATAATACTACTAGGAATGTGCAGTACTTGGGCCAGTGTGAAACACTCTTGGTGATCTTTGAAAGGTTAAATGTAGAATTATCACTTGATTCATCCATCTCCATTCTTGGGTACATACCCAAAGGATCAGAAAGTTACTGAAGTGGATGAGGGAGCAAACTTATTTTTTTATTCCAAGATCTTGTCATTCACACAGAGAAAACATTCTTAGTCAGACACATTTAAGGTAAATTTTATTTGGGGCCCAGCCTGGTGGCTCAGCAGGCTCATTCCCCACCCTCTGGCATCCCATGTAAGTGCTGATTTGAGTCCCAGCTGTTCCACTTCTGATCCAGCTCCCTGCTAAAGGTCTGGGAAAAGCAGCAGAAGATGATCCAAACAATTGGGTCCCTGCACCCAAGTAGGAGATTACCCACTTGAGTCCTAGCTTGAATCTGGCACAGTCCTGGCTGTTACAGCCACCCAGGAGTGAACCACCAGATAGAAGGTCTCTCTTTCACAACTATGACTTTCAAAGCAAATAAAAATAAGCGTCATTTTCCTTTCCTTTCCTTTCCTTTCCCTCCCTCCCTCTCTTCCTCCCTTCCTTCCTTCCTTCCTTCCTTCCTGATTGGCTCCAAGTATATGAGTTCCTTCATGTGGTCTCAAGTTTTGTTCCTGATTTGTACTTTTATATGGACTGAGTTGTTTATTTTTCCTCCTTTTGTAACAGGATCATGGAGTTGATAGCACCATTTTCCAGAAGCCCAAAAAGCTTCACCTGACTATTGGGGTGTTGGTACTGCTGAGTGAGGAAGAGATCCAGCAGACATGTGAAATGCTACAGCAGTGCAAAGAGGAATTTATTAAGTGAGTGGTGACGCTCAGGAGTAGGGAGGGTGGTCAGGCTGGGCTGGCTTGCTTTTACACTAGGGAGCTGAATGGCGGAGACAGGATTTATTGACTCACCCATTGGTAGCATGTAACCTCAGATGGTTATCTGAAAAGTTTAAAATGAATTGTAAAGCTGATGGCCTCATGAATTTACAGATTTTTATGGAAAGATAGGCATATATCTCCCATCTTATTGGTTCATTTCCCAAAGGCACATCACAGCCAAAGCTGGGCCACTCAGATGTCAGGGGCTGAAAACATTGGTGACAGTGAATCCAGTCATTTGAATCATCATCTGCTTGCCAATGTAGTCTTAATATGAAGCTGAAACATAGAGTGAAGCCCAGGTATGAACTTAGGCACTCTGCTATAAGATGCAGGCATCCCCAAGTGACAGCTTACAAAACACCAAATGCTCCCGTTGGGTCAGATGACTGATCCAGGTTTCTTTATTTTTTAATTTTAAATTTTATGTATTTTATTTGTTCATTCATTAAAATTTTTAGAAATTTATTTATTTTCATTGAATGACCGATCAGATTTACAGAGAAAAGACAAAGATCCTCTATCTTCTGGTTCACTCTTCAATTGGCCATAGCCAAGCTGATCCAAAGCCAGGAGCCTCCCTGAGGTCCCCCTCATGGGTGCAGGATTCCAAGGCTTTGGGCCATCCTCTGTGCTTTCCCAGGCAACATACAGATGGGAAGCGGGCCAGAGTCATATTAAATGGTGCCCATATGGGATACCAGTGCTGGGAGGTGGAAGATTAACCAGTTAAGCCAGTGCCCTGGCCCTCTGTTCTAGGTTTTATTGACTTTGTGGAACCTCGAGGGTCATAGCTATTTCTATACCTTTGGAGTCCAGTTTCTAGTGTCTGTCCACTGGTAGCACCTTTGTTCCTTCTTTAATGTAATTAACATTGCATGTGTGACCCTCTATTGTCACATCTCTGTGGCCACAGCAAGCAAGTTGTATACTTTTAAGAGCCTGGGAGATTTGATTGAGCCCATGCAGGTACTCCAGACTCAAGACTATGTGAACTTCCTTAACCATAATTACATTTGCAAGCATGTCTTCGCCATACAAGACAACATATTTATGAATTCCAAAAAGGCTACGCTATGGCTCCAGCCCCAGGCAGTCTGCTTTGACTCAGAAAATACTGTTGTTCTGAGGGCATAGTTATTATTTGTTTACTGCAAAATATTGATTTACGTGCTAATCTGATGTACATGTTAATCTGGCTTTATTTCAAAGAGCCACGTCTTTCCCTGTCTCCCTTTACTTGAAAAAACTTAAGATTGCCGAAGAAAAATTAGAGCATTAACACCAATATTTTAGCAGGTCCCATGCTATTCTAATGTGGCCTTGTGAAATGAGTTCATGGGAGGGGCTGGTGCCGTGGCTCTACAGACTAATCCCCCACCCTGTGACACTAGCATCCCGAACAGGTGCTGGTTTGTTTTCTGGCTACTACATTTCTGATCCAGCCTGCTGCTTGTAGCCTGGGATGGCAGTGGAGGATGGCCCAAAGCTTTGGGACTCTGTATCCACATGGAAAGCCCTGAAAAAGCTCCTGGCTCCTGGCTTTGGATCAGCTCAGCTCTGGCCATTGCAGCCACTTGGGGAGTGGAGCAGTGGATGGAAGAGCTTTCTGTCTGTCTCTCGTTCCTTCGTAAATCTGATCTGCCCTTCCAATAAAAATAAATGAATCTTAAAAAAAAAAAAGAAAGAAATTCATGGGTTAACAAAGTAGAGCTGACAGTTTCCCACAGGTGTGCTGAGTACAAAGCTGTGTATGTGCAATTACTTATGTCTGGGTCAGCCTTTCCTGCTGCTTAGAAGACTTTTCTTGAGCAAAATCATGGGCTAATTGGGTTTACAAACAGCCTGTCTGCTCTTCCTGAGAGCATAAACCATTGGTTTTGTTCTTTATCCAGTGCTGTTTTTTCTCATTCTCAGCTAAAATTCAGAATAATTTGGTGTTTGTCATTAGATACTTTGAATTTTTCTTTGTATAAAATAAACCCTCATGCCATACATTACAAAGCAGGGTAGTTTTATTTGATTTAAGGATCAGTTCTGATCCTTTAATTTGTTTCTGGTTTATGTTTTGCTAAGCTAAATGGAAAGTTACTGCATTTTCTTGGTTGTTGTTGGGATAATGCTGCTTAGAAAAAAATTGAAGGTAGATAAAATATTTGTTTGGAGAAGTTTTTATTCTGTTTTACTTTATGAAATCAGGCCTTAGGTTTTTTTTTTTTTTTTTTTTTTAATCACCCAGGCTTTATTCTAAGCTATGTGAAGATTTAGCTATGTTCCTTCCTTTTATGTTGCTTGGTGCCTTTTGTGACTAAATGCCAAAGCTGAACCCTTTAAGCATGTCAGAATTGGTGTGCTTAGGGAATAAAGAGTGATTTTTAATAGTTTCCAAGAATTTTTGACATGACAGGATGAAAACAGTAATTGTAGTTTTTTTCAAATTCAGCAAAGCTTTTGAAATAGGACAAAGTTACTCTGCCAAAAATCTGCAGTGCATGCAAAAATGTATTTGAAGATGCTCTTTTCAGAATGCTAGAAAGATTTGAAACCAACAAATAATATGAAGCAAACCTCCCCTGCCCTCTTCTCTAACCTCCCACCCTGCCATATGCACTGTCTAAAAAAGTATATGGCACTGAATTAATGTACTGCTGAGAGGGAGGATGAGCTCGGAGTTGGTTGCTTGCATTGGTTAGGCGTGCCTTATTTCTCTAAAGGAGGAGACTTCTCGGGGTGTAGAAAGCACTTTGTTGTTGTTTTCTTGTAAAGATTTATTGATTTGAAAGGCAGAGTTAGAGAGAGAGAGAGAGAAGGATGGGGAGAGAGAGAGAGCATCCATTTACTGGTTCACTCTTCAAATGACTGAAATGGCAGAGCTGAGCTGGTCCAAAACCAGGTGCTTCTAGATCTCTGACATGGATGGATCCAGGGGACCAGGCACTTTTTTTTTTTTTTTTTTTTTTTTTTTTTTACTATTTGATCTCAGCCTTTGATACTTCTGTATTTAGAGAGAAGAGAATGTCCATGAATAATTTCTAACCGGAACCTTTAAAAATGTTTGATGCTGGGGCTGGTACTGTGATATAGCAGGTAAAGTCACCAGCTGCAGCTTTGGCATCCCATATGGGTATCAAGTCAAGTCCTGGCTGCTCAACTTCCAATCCAGCTCCCTGCTGCTGTGTCTGGGAAAGCAGTGGAAGTGGCCCAGGTGCTTGGACTCCTGCACCCAAGTAACAAACTCAGAAGAAGCTCTTGGCTCCTGTCTTTGGTCCAGCCCAGCTCTGGCTATTTTGGCCATTTAGGGAATGAATCAGCAGATGGAAGATCTTTCTGCCTCTCTCACTCTTCTCTTTTTCTGTAAGTTTACTTTGCTGTCACCTGCTGCTTCCCAGGGTGTGAATTGACAGGAAGCTGAATCCAAAGCAGAGCCAAGACCCAGAACCAGGCATTTCAGTATAGGCTGCAGGTGACCCTAAAAAAGTCTTTTTTTTTTCTTGAACAGTGAATTATATATGTAAAATGTAATATGATAAAGAGAGAGAGATCTCCCACCGGCTAGGTCACTCCCCAAGTGGCTGTAACAGTCAGGTCTGGGTGTGGCTGAAACCTAGACAGGTGAACTTCATCCTGATCTCCTACTTGGGTGGCATGGGTACAAGGACCATCTTCTACTGCTTTCCCAGGCACATTAGCAGGAACCTGCATTAACAGGGACTCAAACCAGAATCATGTGGGGGTTGTGAGTGGTGGGTTAAGCTGCTGTGCCACAGCTGCAGTGTCTTTTTCAAAATTCTTTTATATTATTTTGTTTTTATTGAAACATCAGAGATACAGAGAGGAGAGACAAAGAGGAACATCTTCTGTCCATTGATTCACTCCCCAAAGAACCCAAATGGCCAGGGCTGCATTGAACTGAATCTAGGAGTCTGGGACATCTTCCAGGTCTCCCACACGGGTGCAGGGTTCCAAGGCCTTGGGCCATCCTCAACTACTTTCCCAAGCAGGGAGCTAGGTGGGAAGCAGGGATGCTGGGATATGAACCAGTGCCCATATGGGATCCCAGTTTGTGCTACGCAAGGACCTTAGCTGCTAGGCTAGGCACCGGGTCCAACAGCTGCGGTGTCTTAATTGCTGCACCTATACCTTAATTGCTGCACAAATACCTGCGCCTAACCTGAACCTTTTATGGAGTAAAGATTCATAATTAAAACATGAAAGGAAAAAACATTGAAAATAAATTATACATAATATAGTTTAACTTGATACTTTTAAAAATTGAAGTATTAAAATGTATGGTGGCTATATCTGATTAAAATTGTGGTGTTATATTGCTGTTATAAAGAAATGAGCAGTTGGATGTTTCAGATTTGAGGTTTGTTTTTTAGCTTAATGAATGCTATCTGATCAGAAACAAAATTTTCATTTCCATTCTTTTGCTGAAGGCTATGCAGCTCAATAGAGTTTGCATGAATTATTCAGTGTCGAGTAAATTCTGAAGCTCTGAATGGGTCCCTTGTGACTTTTCTTTGTGAGCTTCAGGACACAGACAGCATGGTGGCTCTGAGTATGTAGTCTGACAAATATGTAACACTTGTGTAGCCAGTGCTGCTGTATTTGTGCCCAAGTGTTCCCAGCAGAGCTGAGTTCAAACCAAGTAAGCAATTGAGGAGTAACAAGAACAGAGAGAGAAGAAAAGAAGTAAACACACCTGTGCACAGTTGCTAGTACCTGATTAGTGTTTCAGGTGTCACTTGGTCAGCAGGTGTGATCACTTATGTTGCAGGGGGAATACTTCAGCCACCATGACAAAGTAGATGTGCAAACTCATAGATTTCTCTCCTGCCCTTTGGTCAAGTCTTAGTGGTAAGGTGAATGAGTTTCTGTTTCTACTTACAAAACAAGCTTTGCTTCCTGTTTTGTTTTCTTTTATTATG